TAACAACATAATTAAAGTAAAAATTTAATAATCAATGATAGTTTAAAATGATCATGTATAACTCAATTCTACCACTATTACTATGGTCATTTATGGCCGGAGTTACCTACAGCAGTGATTACGATTGCCAAGCAACCTATGTTAACGGCAATAGCGGCATATGTGTGCCAAACCCGACTTGTTGTAAGGGTACGGCACAGCCTAACGTATGCTTCAATAATAACTATTGTTGTTGGGGCACTTACGACTGTCGGGCAACTACTGTCCCAAGTAAGTAGGGGGTGGGGCGTTTACCTAGATTATATGTTTGTCATAAACAACCATCATCAAACATTTATGATATAAACATAGACCCATCGGCTTACTGCCCGACCATAAAGGCCAGAGCCTCGTGGAAAGCTATGAATGCAAAACAATCTCAGGCGCCCCTAACGCCGGTGCGGCACGTGTTCATACATCACACAAACACCGCCGCGTGTCCTGACTCGCAAAATGGCTGCTGGTATGCCGTACGTACCATACAGAGTACCCAGATGCGTTTACAGGGCGCTGTTGATATCAAGTGGAATTTCTTAATAGGTAAATTGTGGATACATAACAAATGCTATTTAGGGTTATGTTTACATTTTGTTTTATCAAGGTGGTGACGGTCAAGTGTATGAAGGTACCGGATGGACTCTGCAATCATCAGATCTACCATGGTGGGATCAGAAGTCATTGAGCATCGCATTTGTGGGCAACTATAATAACGTGCGGCCCAGCGATCAGATGATGAGCGCATTGAATAATCTGTTGAGTTGTGGTGTGAGTCGTGGGTATATTCAGTACGATTATCAACTACACGGACACAGGGATGTCGATCCAGGTGTCACCTGTCCCGGCAATGCCCTCTACAATGCCATACTTTATACGCCTTACTTTAGAGCCGGTCCCGTCGATCCCAATTATTAAACTGAACATGTTCATTTGTTATTGTTGTAATTGTTTTAATTGCGTTAAAAATTTATTAAATGACGCTAATAATAAATTTAATACAAACTTTGCATATCCAGTAAATCCAAAAAGCAAATAATTCTCTTTGATTTAATATAAAAATGTATTTTTATAATTAATAAATTACAGACAAGTACAAAATCTTAAAATTAAATAAACATTGTTATTAAAGCATAAAAATATAAATTTTACTTAAAGTTTACTTAATTTAATACTAATAATTGCATCATAATTGAATGATTCATAAAATAATTAATTTAAACAAGACATGTGTAAAACATGTTATATAACCAGCTATCTTGTCAAATTCTAGAGAGAGAGAAAGAGAGAGAGAGAGAGAGAGAGAGAGAGAGAGAGAGAGAGAGAGAGAGAGAGAGAGAGAGAGAGAGAGAGAGAGAGAGAGAGAGNGAGAGAGAGAGAGAGAATCCAAGGATGTAAACAATTTTATTTTTATTTTTTGTACAATTTGTACAAAATGATTAATTAAAATATCCGGAAACATACAGTACTATGTCTGCAACCAGTGTAACCAATACAGGGATTTATTATCAAGGGCATATTTAATATAATATAATAATTTAACAACGTTATAATAAAAATTATACCATAAATACCTTTGTACATTTATGTCTGTACAGTATTTATCTTTTTACTATTTATTTCATACAACTCTAAATATACACAAAACAATTAATTCTGCTTTTAATGACCGAAATATTTAATAATTTAAAATTTTATTTATTATAAATACTTTAATTATTATTTATAAAAAAATAATTATTATTATAAAACTATAGTTTTAATTCAGTAGCAAATACTTATAAATGATGTCTGTTATTTGGGGGTGCGAGGGGTCCGGCTTGAAATCGATCGAGTTTATTGATATACCGGTAGAGATACTCGCCGGGACAGGAGGTCTGTCTGCGCACATC